TGGTTATATTTATTAAACAAGAAACAGTTGATGTAGAAAATCTTTTTTCGGGGAATTGGCTGAAAAAAGTTGCAACCTTAAATCTTTCTTGAGAAAAAAACATGTTTTTGCAGTTTTTAAGTAAAAAATCTGATTCATTTAGAATATTATAGGAATTTTACTCCATTTAACACTTTTTACACTTCAAGAAAGGAAATGTTAGTTATTTAACAGTTATGTCAACTAGTTTCACTAAACCTACTTGCTCAAATGTAAGGAGTAATATACATTTACATTTTACCATGACAACATATGGCCATACCATACCATAATTTATTTATATAGCATATGTAAAATGCAGCACGGGAGCTGTCCAAAGTGCTGCACAGGCTGGACCGTATCACATCTAAACAAAGCAACAAAAACTAAAAAAACAGAGGATGAAAATACTGATCAATAAAAGCAAATAAAACATTAGGAATACTAAGAAGACATTAAAACAATAATACAATAAAACAATAAACCGAGTCACTGTCAACAATCTCACTTTAGTAATTAATGCAACTAGGCTTTGTTTATAAATTAGGGATAGGAAATTAATAGGGATGTAAGAAAATATCTATATGGCAACATCGCAATATTTTTGCCAGCATTATTATATTGATATTCAAAGATGTGTATTGAAAATATTGATTTAGCAATATATCGTGATTTTTTTTCTGCAATACTACATCGATATTCAAAAGCCATGCATCTAATTTTGGGAAGAATGTACATGCAAACATGAGTGTATTTTCTTTTCTTTTGGTGCAATTCAAATGCTGGCAGCAGTGCAATGAGTTTTGTTTCCACCATTGAAATGTAAATCCCTTTTTTACGGTTCATATACCTCATGTTAAACATGTTACGTATCAGTTTGGACTGTTTATTTTATTATTTCTACAACAAATTCAGTTAAAAAATGCAAATAACATCTGAATGTATTGCAATATATCATGATACATTGTATCATCTTCCCTGTATCGTATCGCCAGATTTTCACCAATACACATCTCTAGAATTCAATATGTTAAGTATGATAAATTAATTAGAGAAAAATTATGCACATTTAACCCCTTTGAGCCAGAGCGTTTAGCACTACAATGTATGCCTTATTAACCTATAAATATAATTAAGCAGCACCTTTACAATAAACTGCCGAGCCTAGGCTACAAGACCATATTACATTTTTTGCGTGCTCCAAAAACAACTTAAACTACAAATAAATGAATAATGAAAAACCACTCTTTAAGAAAATAGAAAAGAAAAACAAAAAATTTATGTTTAAGATTATTTTTTTTAGTTGATAGAAAGCAGGCAGGCAGTAACTTTATCCATATGAACTTTATCACAGCAGGAGGGACAAGCATACACACAGCATCTTGTAACTCAGCAGAACTTCACCTGAACTCTATGCTACACCTCTATATATATAGATTAGCAGTACTCTACTGCCACCTAGTGTTCAGTTCAGTACACAACATTTATGAAGTTCCATATCCATTTACACTTCTTCAACACATATACTAATATTTACACATCCCAACAAATCCCATAACGGTTACCTTTATAATGAGGCCACAGTAATTAAAAATATACCACGTGGCTACATAAATTTACTAATTGAAGTGTGAGTATGTCATCTGTGCCTCACTGACATTATTCCATCCATCCATCCATCCATCCATCCACCCATCCATCCATCCACCCATCCATCCATGCATCCATCCATCCATCCATCCATCCATCCATGCATCCATCCATCCATCCATCCATCCATCCATCCATCCATCCATCCATCCATCCATTGTCTGAACCCGCTTTGTCCACATAGGGTTCAGCGGTCAATGGGCAATCAGGCAGGGTACACCCTGGACAGAGAGCCAGTCAATCGTCACTGACATTATTTTTGATCAAAAACATTTTTTGGGTGCAAACAGTTTTATACAATTAAAATGTGATTAATCAAGATTAATTAAGTACAAGGCCTCTAATTAATTAGATTAATCTTCAGTCAAGTCTTACCCCTAATTTAGCAGCGCTCAACTCAAATGGCATGGGGCTCTATGGGGTGTGTAACATTGCAACCAACTCCACAAGCAAAAAAAGCTGCTCAAATTAGAGCTCAGAGACATCCAGCATTTTTATCATTAAGTGAAATAAATTCATGTAATTACATTAGAAAACTGCTTCTGCTGAGTCTTCTGTGTTTACTAATTCACTTTTCTTTACGCCATCAAATCCTGTTGTGGATGTTTTGCTTAAGTTTTCCTTTCATTTCTTTGATCTGATTTACTTTTGCAAATTGGTGTGCGTGAGACAAAACCATGTCTTCAAACAGAATAAGTAGATTCATCCACACAGTTTCACGCTCATTTACTAAAGCTAGCTGGGAATCATCGCAGTGAGGAGTTGTTTCACACATTTGACTCGGGAGAATTCCCCTCACTAATCCTGTTGGGTGCAGTGAACCTGTGGCTTGTTGCAGAAATGGCTGACTCACAAAAGGACATTTCTCAAGGAGCTGTGTCCAGATTAAAACACATGACTTTATAAATATATAAATATATTTCATTATTTGTTCTATTGACCGTAAAAGTAAAGATGAAAAGACACACATAAACAAAGCAGAATCAGTTACTGAGTGAAAATTCTCTTGTTTTATCATATTTAAAGAAAATGAATTTTAATTATAGCTTTTTGTTTGATCAGACGGATTGTTTCAGTAAATGGGTTGAAAATGCTTTCATTCAAAGTGTTTAAACTCAGAAATCATATGACCAACCTGCTCCTGGAATCCATCAGGAGTGTGGGTCAGAAGACTTAAGGGATCAAAGGTCTCCCTCGCTATTAGCACAGCGGCCGCTTTTTAACCACATCAAATTTAAGCAAACAAAGACGAATGCATCACACTCACACCTTGAGGGCAGTAAATATAAACTCATCACTTATGATCAGATCTTGTTCGTGATATCTCCTGGGATAAAACATAGGAAGTAATTATTCTGGATGGTTACCACAAAAGCATCGTCAAAGGGTGAAAGTGTTTCTTCACATGGAAACAGAGCAATAGAAAGTCGCATTTCCAGGAGTTTATTTGGGCGAACGTCCCACAACACAAACACACAACAGGACCAGTTTGTAAACAGTAGCTGAATATGAATCACTTTTAAAGCTACTTTTATCACGTGGCAGTAATTAGACGAGGCTGCAGCTCCTCATGATCCTGCACAAAAACAAGTGGCTTCAATCCAATTTACACCAACAATCACTCACTAATTATTTACACAGACACTTTCCACATGAAAATTAATTATTGACTATTTACCTTTGAGAAACTCAGGCTTTCTAACTTATGGCGGCACCTAGCTGTACACAAATGCTGAAAGTAGTTTGTGTGCAAAAGGAGATTTTTTACTCTTGAACTTGAACAAAGAGTGCCTAACAAAAATCAATGAACTGTTTGAAAAAAATACTGTTTATTTGGATGCTCAAAGAACTGTGTTCACTTTAGTTTTTTTTTGTTATAAACTTTATTTTCTTGAGACTAAAAACAATCAAACTGAATCAAATCAAACTCAAACTGAACTATATCATGATGGAGATAAATTGCATTGATTCTTATTTAGCAGCTCATTTATCTTGGTAAATCAAATCATCAGTGGTGTATAGTAAGAAGTCGCTACAGCCCAGATATGTGTCTTCTTTAATATTTTATTCTGGACAATCGTATTCAACGAATAGCTTCAAGTTTTAATGCTTTTGATAAATGTGGATTAAAAATGTTGAATGGGGCTTAATACCCACGGAGAATTCAAATAATGTTAAATATCAATTAACTTGTTAGATGTTCGTCCTTTAACTATTTTTAGGTGATGCATTTTTTTATATCATAAATAAAAGTAACACCCACACCCACACACACACACTCCACACCCACAACGAACATCAAAGAGCACATGGGATGGAGGAGTTGTGAACTTTTCAGAAAAACAAATTTCCAAAATTAATACAATTAATACCCAATAAAAGAGCATGTGTCCATTAAGGATGAGGATTAAAAAGATCCCGGACAAGCCCCCATTTGTTACATCTCAGGCTAGGACACATGCTCAGGTGTTAAAAGATTAACTTAACTGAATTTATTTAAACAAAGGAAAATAAATGAACAGAAGGAAACATTTAAACTCTAATAAGCCAAACTAAGATAACACACACACACACACGCGCACACACACACGCACGTGCGCACACACACACACACACACACACACACACACACACACACACACACAAACAGGTGATCAAAGCATATATAATGTAAACATTGATTTGAGTTGAGATCTTATTGTTTAAAGGTCTTGTTCTGATCCTGAGGTTGCTGGAGGGGAGCTGGCCTCCTGACCTGGTATCATATAGCCGATCATGTGTTTAGTGCCTGGCTCCTATACCATCATCTGTTTGGTTCTTGTTTGCATTTATGTATTTGTTTCTCTTCACATTCCTCCTCTTGCAGTGCTTAGTCTTCAGAGTAAGTTGTACCAACTGTAGAAATTAATGTAAAGAAATCTGATTTCAGATCATATTATCATTCTAGTTCTAAGATTAACCTCAGGCTCAAAAGTTAACATCAGACTTATGCTGACAAGCTCCAAACACGAGTCCAATCATCTCTGAATTAAAAGGCTCCGGTTAAGCAGATCCATTGAGACGTCACTGCACTGAAAGCATGAGTTTAACAAAGTTTTTTTATATTTATTATGTACAAACTGCAAATGACTCAGCCATAAAAAAAAAAAAACATTTTTCAGTTTCCTTTGGGAACTTTGTGCTTGTGGAATATAATAGCTCATTCAGACAGTTTCTTGGTATGCATCCAAATCTCGCTGCAAATCACAGACCCCGCTGTCAGGTGATCATCACAAGACCAATGGCCTAATCCTCCTAAGCCGTACAAAAGCAGGAACAGACATTAGAGGCGTTCTTAATATGCATGTAACCAGCTGGAACACAACATGATTCGGCTTTAAGTGTTGTTTCCGCAGACATTAACAATATCACTGAATCTAATTTGAAGAATCACGGCAAGGGACCGCAGCTGAGTGGGATTCCACACTTTTTGTGGGGGAACTAATTGACGTATTACATCCGAGGCTTGATCTACACACTGATTTGTCATCACTAACTGGAAGGAACAAACACTTGGAAGAAGATGATGATTGCTCTGGGTCTTGGTTTTTTGTCTCTACTCTTCCGTCTTGACCCAGTAGAGAGTCAGTTTCCTCGCGTTTGCTGCACGGTGGAGGGGATCCTGTCCAAGCAATGCTGCCCTGCTCTGGGATCGGATCCGGCCAACATATGTGGCTCCCTGACAGGGAGAGGAAGCTGTGCCACCGTACGGGTCGACTCCAAACCCTGGGGAGGACCATACAGACTCAGAAATGTGGATGACAGGGAGAGGTGGCCCACTAAATTCTTTAACCAGACCTGCAGATGTACAGGTGGGCTTTTTAAAAACATAATGATAGAAACCCTGTGAGAATTAGGCAAATTAATCAATTTATTGTCCGTTGTAGGTAACTTTGCAGGTTATGACTGTGGCCAGTGTAAGTTTGGTTGGACTGGTCCAAACTGCGACCAGAGAAAATCTCCAGTTGTACGGAAGGACATCCACTCCTTGACTCCTGAGGAGCTTCAGGAATTTCTGAACGTTCTGGATCAGGCTAAGACCACCATCCATCCTGATTACGTCATCGCCACGCAGCACTGGTTAGGCCTGCTGGGACCAAACGGGACCGAGCCACAGTTCGCCAACGTCTCCATCTACGACTTCTTTGTCTGGCAGCATTACTACTCAGTCAGAGACACTCTTCTTGGTAAATATGCTAACCCATTTACCGGCAACCCTAACACATTTACCGAGAATGTGTCGTCTATTTAAATATCTGCAACACAACATAATAATTGAATGGGTAAAGGAGTTTTAAAAATGTCTGAATCAGCTTCAAATTATTCATATTTTATGGAAACTTAACAGAAATGTTTAAATTCTGTATATAAATTCATGTGCTCATTTGCAAAATATAAACTTAAACGTGAAGTTTGAAAGTAATGAAAACAATAACAAAGATTGTAATTCACACTTAAATATTTTGCCACCAAAACTAATTGTTTTAATGAGAACTCAATCAAATGTTTAAAAAAATTCATATTTTTTATGAATTCTTCTTTATCATTAATGCATTTCTGAGCCTAATGCACTGTTTATGTTAATTGCAGGTCCGGGTCGTCCATTTAAAGCCATAGATTTCTCCCACAAAGGTCCGGCATTCATTACCTGGCACAGGTACCACCTTCTGAGCCTTGAAAGAGAGCTTCAGGTATACGATCAAAAGTTTTTCTTTCAATGTTTATCTTTTTTTTTCTTGTGAGGAGAAAAACAATGTTGGCATGGAGGGAATTCAACGTTTTCAGTTGGATGCTGCAGCTATATGTTACTTATGCTCACCGGCGAGTGTTGCTGTGCAGAAATGTTTGATATTTTGGACATTTTTCAAATGTTCACTTACATAAAATTTATTTATTGGTTCTCATGATTTGATTAATATATTTGTGGTTACATTTTTTCAAGTCTCATAGTGTAGTTCAATGAATTTTATAATTACTGCTTTTATATATTTTTAAATATCTTAATATATTAAATTTCTTGTTTAGATCAATGTTGGCTTCAGATTTGTAAATCTGCAGACTTTTGAGCACCAACTGAAAAGAAAACTATGACCATTTAGAAATGTGTGTTTATTGCAGCACAACCATATGAAAAAAAAATCTATATAATGCTGTTTTAATGGGTTCCTGGAAGCAGAAAAGACACATATACAGATGTGGCTGTGCAAACACGCACCATGCTCAACACATTTTTAAGTAATCTAAGAAAAGCCTGGAGGTTTGTTTCTCTTTCCAACTTGGTTTTCCAGCAACTAACCTAAAACTGTGTGCAGACAAACCAAAACTCACCATTTTGAATAAAATTGTGCACAAATAAACAAAATAGTAGTAAAGCGTTTGGTACAAGTCAACTAAAAAAATTACATTTGATCATCAGACTGTGATTTAAGATTTTAATAATATCTAATGTGCTCTGGATTAACAGACTCATTGCAGAGATGATTACTTATCAACTTTTAGTTTTACATTCATACGAGCTAGCTTTCATTTGTCCGTCTTTTTCCCGCAGAGACTGACAGGCAATGAAAACTTTGCGATCCCCTACTGGAACTTTGCAACGGGGCAGAGTGAGTGTGACGTTTGCACAGATTCTCTCCTGGGGGGTCGAAACCCAGACAACCCCTCCCTCATCAGTAACCAGTCCAGATTCTCCAGATGGGGGGTGATCTGCAACAGGTAAACAGATCAAGTTAAACATCTGAAGCATCAATTTTTTGGTTTACAGGAGTGTTTTTTTTTTCTTCCTTCAGCTTGGATGACTACAACCGCCTGGTGACTCTTTGCAACGGCACAAATGAGGGTTTGATCCAGAGAGGCGTGATGGAGAGAGCCAACACATCTCTGCCCACCATGACTGACGTCAGAAGCTGTCTAGGAATCCGAGACTTTGACAGTCCTCCTTACTTCACCAACTCTTCCTTTAGCTTCAGGTGCGACTTGTGACCGATGGAACCAATTTACTCAAACTAAAAAGCTTACTATGTGCACTTTTCTCTTTACAGAAATGCTCTTGAGGGCTATGAGAAGCCAGATGGGGAGCTGGACGATACCGTCAACAACCTTCACAACTTGGTCCACTCTTTGCTCAACGGAACCAGCAGCTTGTCTCACTCTGCAGCCAACGATCCTATCTTCCTGGTCTGAATTCAGCCGCCTTCTTTACTCTGAAATCACAATATAATAATAATGCTCTTGTCTTAAAGACCAAGTTCACTGAGAATTTGTTTTTCAATCTTGCGACAGAGGATGTTGTCGATTTAGCATCCAGGAGAGAGCAGAGGACGTCTAAGCTAGTAGAACCTAACCATTAGCATTAGCAACTTCACAACATGCCTGAACTCCTCCAGGCTTGTGTTATTTGTGGAGATTAAACATCAACGTTGTAAGTCAGTGGTTAACCAATCAGACGCGAAATGTCCTGATATCAGGAAAGAAGAGTCCCAAACTTGCTCTTATCTGCTCTCCTCTCCTCTGGCTAACTTCTACTTAATGAAACAGGAGCGCCAGAGCTTTCCCCCCACAGAGATTGACCCATTAGGTGTTCATTTAATCTAGAGACCACTGCAGATGTTGATCAAAACGAGTGAACTTGGCCTGTAACTTCCAGGTGCTCCATGCATTCACGGATGCCATTTTTGACGAGTGGATGCGTAGATTCGTTCCATCCAACTCCACCTTCCCAGATGAAATGGCTCCCATTGGACACAACAGGGACTACAACATGGTTCCCTTCTTCCCTCCCATCACCAACGAGGAGATTTATGTCACGTCAGATCAACTTGGATACTCCTATGCCATTTCCCTGGATGGTGAGTGAAAACAGTACAGTAATTTTGTTCGTTCGTGATTTACTCTGTATTTTTTCTCCCCAGATGCAGATGGAGGCTCACCTGCATTCGTCCTGGGCTCCACATTAGGAGGCGTCTTCGTCGGTCTCCTGGTGCTTCTCCTCATTTTAGTGCTCTACTTGCGTCAGCGGAGAAACAAAGGCTTTGAACCTCTGATAAAAGCAGATTTCACCAACAGGAAGTACACAGAGGAAGCCTAGCTGTTCCTGGAAAGCACTTCAAACTGACCTCAGTGTGATGGAGACTTCCGTCTACATCTTAGGATCGAGAAAATTCTCGACAGCCAGTAAGGAATTCCAATTACATGACAGAACAAACGTTTGAATAATTTACCTGAGATTTTTGTACGACAAAAGATTCTTTTCACAAAAATGTTACCTTATGTTTAATCTTTATCACTATTATGTGTCTTTTTCAAACTCCTCACAAACAGAAGTCTATTGAAAAGTTTTGAATAACAATTTATTTCCAAGAACAGTAACAAAACATGAATGCAATCATCGTAATTGCACCGAAAAAACAGTAAGGCATATATTGAGTCCACAAACTCATCCGACTTTAAGTTTGCAATCACTTCCAAAAAACCAGTTTAGATTTGATACAACAATGTTTTTTTCAAACATTTTATTGCAAAAATATTAAAAGTTTAATGATACAAAACATAAAAAGGGCATCCTGTGAGGTCAATAGTCATAATAAAGAATCATTTTCAGTGAAATATGTGTTTGCTCAGTATTTTTTGTTTTTGTTCTTGCAGTTTGGATGTAAATGCATTTAATAAAAGAAAAGCTGAACAAATGACATAATACAGGCTAATTGTGTGGCTGTGAAAGCTTAGCTGACCAGGGAGTTACAAACCTGACGGGCTCTCAGAGAACAGTGAATGTACATAGTACAGGCGCTCCTCAGCAGTGCCAGGCCACTCACACTCTCTGTAAGTGCGCTCTACTGAAGCATTCAGCCCTGTCCAGTCCCCACAGATTCTCATTTCACAGGTGAATGTGGTCGGCTTCAAGCCCGTCTGTGCTGCAGACATAACCATTCAAGCTTTCCAGATAAATTCAGGGACTCTTTCTTAGCATTTCCACCAACCAATACATGTGCTGGTTCCTGCTGTCTCCAAAAAATACCCCCACCCCCCCTAAAACAACCAAAATGCATTTATTCTTTTTTAAAATGTTATTTTAACATGACTTAATACTGTTAAAGTTTATTCAAACAGATAGTTTAGGCATTTTAACGTTGGTTTCTGTGGAAAAGTGACAAACTATTAATATTTTACCTGCTTTAGATAGCTCCAAGAATAGCCTGAGTTTAATTCAAGCCAACAGCTAGCCCCAGCAGGCCTAGCTCTCTTGTAAGTGCCTCCCAAATGTCATGATATTTTTTTTATGCCGCTATGAATTCTGGATTCTTATTTAACTTTCTGGTGATTTTTAGCATTAATTAGCAGCCTAGCTAACTATGTGTAGCACCCAAAATGTGGCCGTTGGGTCCTGATAATGATATAAATGAAGGATTTTAACACTGGACTGAACCAATTGAAAATTTTAAGAGGTGAATTTTAAATGTAAGGACTGAAAATGAAATAAATAAACTAATAAATAAAGTTTTGCTCTTCTACTTCACAAAAAAGGTGTCGTTTTTCCACTAGTCCTGTTTTTCAGGCACTCACGGAAGCAACCTGGACACTTAGTAAAGATTTCTGCTAAGTCATGTTCTATGAAACCTTTGAGAACATTTTAATTTGTCTGGGTAAAAATAAAACGATCTCTCCAACTGATGTCAGTCAACGCGGCCTATCAACAGAAACATATAGGGTATGTGTGTGAATCATCGGTGTGAATGGGTGAATGATACACTGTATAGTATAGCGCGTTGGAGTTCTTACTCTGAGAGGCACTATACAAGTGCGGGTCATTTATCATAAAACGTATATCACCTTTCCACAAAAAAGCTAAAGAGCTGAACCTCGAGATACATTTTTCCCCCGAAACTTAAGGACTATTTTCCCGAACCTTCATGGTACGCATGTGTTACTTTTTACCAAGCTGGCCAGAAAGGACAACTTTTAGAGCAGGGACCAACCCAATACATGAACTAGGGTATAGGGAGCCTAAGTCACACCCATCTACTTCCAGACCATGGGGCCCTGGGATAACAAAAAAAAAAACAAATGCAAGTCAATGGGGCTATTTTCTAATTGCGCATGTTATGTGCCATGGATTTCACATATGATGTCCGTGAATTTTAAATATGCATTTTGATACCAAGAACGCACTTAATTTCAAATGGGGGAAACGTTATTTTAGGTTTTGTGAGAAAACACGTCCAGGACTACAAATGCGCATCACGAAAGTGACATCATCGAACCAGACACGGAGAAAAGCAGAGGGAAAATGGCTGTAAGTTTAGCAAACTTAAAATCCTTCCTTCAGGAGGGAAAACCACCATAAATCTGACCATGTGGTAAGTAGTAGCTACGCTAGAGGAGAAGAGATTCTGTGGTGACGTCATATATGCGGCGTGTCGATATGCTAATTACAAACTTTTACAAGCTGATAAATCTCAAAGTACATGACAGGTATGGTCGAAACACCCATCATTAGTTTTCATTTAAATTGCAGTACAGCATATGTGTGATCCAGGGTCTAAGGCAAAGCAGATTAGAAAATAGCTCTTTTAGCCCCGTTGACTTACATTCATTTTTTCGTTCTTCCGGGAACCCATGAGCCGACCGGAAAGGGAGGAGACTTAGTTGACAGGCGGGACCGGTTGTTGCCTTAAGCTGACTGGTTGTAACTCAGTAGGAAGTGACATCAGCAGACATTGCCAAACAACTGGTATTTGTAAAATTGGAAGAGTGGCTGGCGAAGCAAAATAAAAGGATAATAAAATAAGTAGCGTTAAAGCTGCTACCAATTTGCTCTTTCTAAACTCAGAACAATGAAAAATGTGGCTGAAATTCCTCCACGATGTCGTAATTCATGCCACTTTCTGACAGAGTGCCGTGATTTATGACGCTTCCGCTGGTCATTAACGCTGCTTTTTACGTCACACAGCCACTCTCCCCATCCCGAGTGATTTAAATTACACCATACTTTGACAGAATAAGACTTTTAAAATATTATTAATGTCCTGGACACATTTTGACGCAGATCGGTGATGTCGGTCTCTGCTGAAACCTTTGCGATATGCTGACGTTTTAGCAAAGTCCTGAAAGGGGTGTTCTTATCTGGCCTTCCACCCTTCCAGAAACTTACTGTAGTGGCTGTGACTGAGTTAGCAAAATTCAGTTTTTATGTCTTTTTTCTGTAGTTATGAAATGAATAATAGAGATTCTGAGGACGCAGCACAAACAATATAAGCCCCAAATTATAAATAAGTTTACAGCAGCTCAGAACTGTGTTGAATACATAAGCTCTTATAGTGCAATGTTCATTTACCAATAACATTCAGAACAAAATCTCCACTGTCCAAAGCAGGCTGAGTGGACCACTCCTCTGGGTGTTAAATACTGATGTAATCCCTACTAATCTAGCCCCGTCTGATTCATAAACAGCTAAATAATCATACATCGGCTGCACTCTGCTTAGTACAAAAAAATATTTTAACGACTCTGTCCAGATTCTGCTGAAGCTCAGCTACAAAAACTAGTGTGATATGAGGATATTTTGCAGATATTGGATTTGTTGCAAGGCAAATGAGGATATAGAACTCATGTAGTGAGTTTTAGCTCAAGGCCACTCTTGAACAGGCTGTGTAGATTCTTGAGAATGGAGTAGTGCACCCATAATCTTACAAACCATGAGTGACTGTGGTGAATGCACAAAAATGCCTTCTATCTAATAAAAAAGAAATGTTGATGGACTGCTTCTTTTCACAAAATGATCGCATTTAATTTCACGATGGAGCAGCAAGAATTCTCTATTTTCTCTATCAGTGTGGCGTTTAGATGATGATCATGTCCTTTCAAATATATTAATAAACACTTTTAAGCTCATTTGACCTATTTAAGGTGCATCAACAACCACATTTTCAATATTTTTCAGACAAAAACCTTTTCCATAGAAAAAAGAGAAAACAATCAAAGTGCATATTATAATTTTCCACATGTTCATACTTGCCACATGTGCAATATAAATGTGTTTATTTTTGAATCTCTGAAGCAGAGTTTGTTGGATCAGCATCAGCGTTAGACGTTGAAATGATGCCATGAATGATCAAGTCTAGAAATGGCACTGCATGATCTTTGGGAACATGGGGAAATCATGGTGGATGACCACTCTCTCTGTCTCTGTTAGCATCAGGGCTGTCGGCTTGACACGGGCTTCGATCTGCTTGAATAGAAAAATAAGAGAAGAGGAAGGAAACCCTGCTGTCCGTTCTCTGCCGATTGCTCCAGTATTATCTCCATTGTCGGTGCAGCATTAGGGCTAAGAGGGCCAGCAGGGTTGGCAGGGCTACAGAGGGTGCACAAAGAGGGGCTGAGTCCTGGACGGGCCCGGACCGGTCGGCTTTCATCACCACCACCGGGGCTTTAGTTGCAGTAGTGTACATGTCTGTGGTGCAGGCCTCTGTGCAGCCGCTTCCACTGCCGGAGCCACTGCCTTCATCGCCTGCAAAAGGCCAAGAGAGAACTCACAAGTTACGTTATGTCAGACAATAATAGCAATGCAACAGCTCCAACGATTATACAAAACCTTTTCATATTAAGAATATACATAGGGAATAAAAAATTATATTATTGTCTGAAAATGTGTTTCAAGGTGATAAATATATGTGGACAAAATTGTTGGTTCCCTTTGGTCAATGAAAGGAAAAACCTACAATGGTGACATAAATAACTTGAATCTGACAAAAGTAATAATACATAAAAATGTGATAACGTTTAACCAATGAAAGGCAGACATTTTCAACCACGCTTCAATGGAATTATTTACAAAAATTAAATAATGGAACAGGTCTGGAGGAAAATGATGGTAACCCTAGAAAAGACTGAAAATGTCATGAACAAAGGGACATGTTGATTCAAGGTGTGTTCACTAATTAGCATCACAGGTGTCTACACTATTGTAATCAGTCAGTGGGCCTATATACAGGAATCCAGGTAGTCACTGTGTTGTTTGGTGAAATGGTGTGTACCACACTCAGCATGGAGCAGAGGAATACAATTATGATAAAAGTATAATTGTTTAATATTTGATTATAAACTGCATCCCTTATTAACTAGTTATTTATCAGGGTGATTTTATTGTAAAGCTTCACATGTTAAAAGCAGCCAGTCATTTTTTTCACCAAGGATTAATTAATTTTTTTTGCAATCAAATAACAAAAACAAATTTTGAAACTTTTATTTTATATAAATAAAATGCAAATTTATCCCATTTTCACTTTGTTGCCAGAAGGTGGCAGAATATTCAACATTACACACCAGTTTATGTTGAGAAAAATGTTCCAAAAATCAAATAAAACATAAAATTAAAAACAGAGCCAGGAACAAAGGTTTGATTTATGGTTAAATGTGCTTTTTTCATAGATACAGTCTACTGTATTCAGATACTGAAAATGTAAAATACATTTATAAAGTTTTTTTTTAATGAAATTGCTATATGTAACTATAGCAACTACTACAAAATTATTTGGAGGTGCAAACACAAAAATAGAGATGTCTGCGGACCACACTTTGTAATGATATTTAAAAAAATGATCACTTGATGGACTTACAGATTCATCACTAATTATGGGTATATTTCTTGCAATAATATTTCAAAATATTCTTTCAAATTACCAAAAAGGTCTAACGGGTTATAAAAACAATCATTTCAAGTTTACTAACTGTCAATTTTAGTTACATTTTTAATTTCACATAATAAATACAAATTTTAAAGCAAATTTAAAATCTACGCAAATAGTTGTTGTTTAAAACCCAAGAGAACTTTTCTCCTACTAAATAAATATATGTGAGAGTCATTATTTATTTACCACCAGATTTCTTTAATGAAATTAAATTTATCACATATTCCTTATAATAATTACTTTGTAGAAAACACAAGCACAATGAATTGCTTTACATTACTGTCAAACTGCATTATGGGTAGCTTAAAACGTAATTATGGATCACTGAAAACATTTCCTGGCTTATTTAAAGTTAGAAAAAAGTTGTATTCTGCCTCATTTGTGCATAAAGAAGCTTACTTGAGTCTTGAAAGGAGATGTCGTTGCCGTTGTAGGCGTTTTTCAGCTTGTTGGTCATCACCCGCAGAGCCATAATCTGCTGACGGATGACTGTGTCTGGACGCGTGATGTCCACAACAACCTCTGGGTTATTCACCTGGTTGGTCAGGCCGTCCTTCAGGACTTCAGGAAAATACCTCGATTTCAAACAGGATGCATTAAAATCAAACGATACATCCCTCCAGGAAGGATTTAGATGATGATTAACTCATCGCTCAAATAATGCGTCTAATTTGTGTGTGTGTGTGTGTGTGTGTGTGTGTGTATATATATATATATATATATATATATATATATGTATATGGTAATGCTCTTTAAGGGCACAGTCGGGTTTGCTAACTCACGTTTTGACCCTGTTTTAATGCACTGACATACTTTTTTTTAAGTATTTCTCTGGAGTATTCATGTCAGCTGCTTGTGCTCCAGTGTGATAAATAAGCCACAAGCCATCATGTGAGGCCATTCCACAACTCATTTGACACAAAAGCATTTGTTTTCTCATAATCTCCTCTGCAGCTCAGAAAATCTAGGCAACAGGTTTCATTTGTCCTTGACTCAGGACACAGAATAAAGCGCCATTTGCTACAAGCACAACCAATTTCTGTTCATGTACAGAACTTAAAATACACATGTTGACAATCCTTTGAGAGTAATGGATGCTTTCAAATACCAGTGAAATGGGAAAACAAAGCATTCTGCACTGGAGCAACGGAAGAATAAATAAGACTTCCTGGTTTCAGCTGGAATGAGTCACAGTAAAAAAATGCCGAGCTCATGAACAGTGGAGTTTCAACTAGTAAAAACAAACAAGCTGACTCTTAATACCAGGATCAGACTGCTTAATGTCAGGCACGCTGAGCAGACTTTGGATTTTTAAGTACCCTTTTGTGTTGGCCTGTATCAACCCAGTTTAAACCCCAGGGCAGCGGCACCCTTACCTGCCCTTGGTGTGTCCATTCCAGCACTCCTCCTCGCTGCCGTTTCCAGCCGTCACCCTCTCTTCCACACACATCGCCTCAGGCAAGTTGGACCAAAATTTCTTGCAGAGCTTGAGTTTCTCTTTTATGTCAACAACCTAAACAAAGATGCGAGGATGTAAAAAATAATACATAAATAACTAAAGCCATAATGTGCCTTGTTGGTTTGTCTTATGAGCAGTGGCGCCCCCAGCAAATTGTCATGGAGGGGGTCAGATGGGGTCAGTCAAAATTTTAGGGTGGCACATAAAGTTGGCCCCCGAGGTAACTCTGGAAGAGTTTAAGCTGTAGTTGTGTATCACACTGCTGGCCAACAAATTTTCATGGGTGGTCATAGGACCCCCTTGGCCACCCGTTAGGGGCACCACTGCTCATGATAGAAATTAATCTGCTAATTAATAATATAATTTTAATATTACAAAAGCCTGTGAGGAAAGCAAAATGAATTTAAAAGGTCAGTTTGTGAGTCTGGGAAAATTAGGTTTTATGACATTAAGAGTTCAGAAAAGAGATTTTGTGCTGCAAAAAAATCTTTTAAATATGTTTTTTTCTGACAGAAGAAAAAAAAATCTGAAAAAAAAAGCTGTTCAGTAAATCAACTTAACAACAAGAACCTGCATTTTTTTTATTTATTTTCTTTAACAGCCCTGAGCCTGCATTTGAAAAGTGATCTGGCCACAACAGTGTGAGATTTAATTATTATTTTATGTTCTAAACACAAAGTTCAATAACATATCTAATCAACTGTAGAGGATGCGTTAGCATTTTCCTTTTTTCTTTTCTTTTTTACATTTTATAACTTAGCAATCATTTTAATGCCAAATAAATGACATAAATTATATATTGTAATTATTTTGTTAAATAATGTGCAAACATTGCTAAGAGCTGCGACTCAGAATTAATTTTATTCATGAAAATCATTCCACCCCCCTCCATCTGTTCTTATTGTAGCATGGTATCAATAAGATGATAAAATCCTCTGTATTTGATTGAACCCAGAGAAATCTCAACTCTCAAACTACTCTGATAAAATTTTTCCTCAATCGCCGGATGTTTGCATCAGTAAAAAAGGTAAAACCATGCAGGCTTGCAGCAATAATTTCAGCCTGAATGTCAGACGTAAACGCTCCTTTGCATCCTGGCCATGTGACAAAGTCAGATATCGTTTCCCGACTTAAGCCTGTTGAACTCCAATCTTTCATCAAACACACAGAATTTGACATATTCCACTGAAGCTGAAGGAAAGCGTGATAGCAGCAGGTTGGCCCCATTATCTTTTTCCGTCTGACTTGCTGTTGGCTTACGTGAAATTGTGGTGAACCTGAGCAGAACATGAAAGGTGCTGTACTGACGGTGTGACGCTGCTGTAGGCCCCGACACTGCTTTTGATGTGTTAATCCTGTCACACTGATGCCAAAGCACTTCAGCGGCTCTGATACTGCCCAGAGGGTCAAGGCTGCACTCAATGCAAGAGTTCTGACTGGCAATGTTTGACTTAACCTCAAACATTAACTTTAGCTCCACAAATAAGACATTCACAGTTTCCTCTCAGGATCTAGTGGGTGAAAAGTGGGAATTTAATTGGCGACGGTTCATTTGTTTATTTACTTACTTTTTTGCAATGCAAATATTTGAGCTGCATCGATTAAGCATAGTGGCAGAAAATAGATAAAGTGTTTACTTGTTTAATTTTACACAGACACGGGCAGAAGTAATGTTTTAAACATTCATGAGACAAAGTGAATGAACTTTGATCTTCATGTAGACACATGCAAAGGCATAATCACAGAAGACAAATGCTTTACAAAACCCAACGGGAATAACACGAACATACTTGATTAACTCAAAATAATGCAGACGACTGACGCTGAGAAAATAGATGAGGAGGAGGAGGAAGGCTGAGATTGTTCGCACAATAATAAATATGCCTCTGGGAAAAGACTGCCTCTCGTGTCACTGCAGACCCAATAAATAATGCAACAGCAACAAGCAGCCATGCTGATGCAATAGCGTGCAACGGACACTAGATGGCAATATGACATTGAGAAATGGGACGATGGAGGAATAAAAGAGAGAAAAGAAAAGTAAGAAAATACATGTCCAACCAATTATGTTTGCAAATATTTCTCTTTAACAACAGACTTCAAACCCAAGATGTTTAATATGGATCAGATGCATGAATCAGATAGAAGCTGAGATGAAATGGCACCAATATAAAGTGTATAGAGGATGGAGCAGAGAGGTGAATCCCATTACAATCAGCTACCGTACTGACAGCTCTGACAACCTCATTAAAATCACAACGAAGATCCCGGAAACAACGCCTCCACCTCCTCTCACTCCCAGATATTACACCGCATCTGTTTACACGGATTTCCTAACAAATGACTGCTGTCATGATATGTGATAGCTGTTCTGATTCCAGATGACACCGAAGATGGCTCGAATCTCTAATAAAGAGCTGATGAAGCAGCTGATTCAAGCGATTACTTAAGAATCAAATAAAAAAAATCAGTGTTGTTCACAGTAAACTACCTTAACTGTCCTTCTTGATCCATAGTTGGGGTTTCTGAGTTCTTGGTACAAATGCTCATTCATCGCTAGTCGTTACTTTTCAGGGTTGTCCAACTCCAGCAGTCAATAAAGAGCCTCCTGGACAAGTTTCCAGTCCACCACAGGGACAACATGGGGACATGCAACCACTGACACATGCCCTCACTCCTAAGGTCAATTTAGAGTCACCAATTAGCCCAATGTACATGATTTAGATCTGCAGGAGGAAACTAAAGAGACCCTGGAAACTCATCTGTGCACAGAGAAACTGAAGCAGGAAGACTCAGGACTTTTTTGCTGCAAGACAACAGTGCAACCATCTGTTCCACCGTGCAGCAGTTGAACATTTTACAAATGCATGGCTAAAGGATCTATAACTGTTTAACAACTCTAAGTACTTTTCTGGTAACTCAAGTCTTTGTGCTTCCACTTTCCCAGAATGCTCTGGGGCACATCATACTAGGCCGGTCAGTGCCCCACATCTTTGTCTTTGACCTCACTACTTCACAAAGTCACTTCAGTTTATTTTTTTTATTTATTTATTTTTTTTCAAAGTTATGATATCTCTATATTATTATAATCTTAATTATCTGTGTGACAATAGGCCTATTGCCTATTGTCACTTCAGTTTATTAAGGCTTGCTGCCATCTGTTTATGCACAGCTCTGTTAAGATCCAAACAATAGTTCAGTCAGGTTGAAGTGTGTACCTTTACTGAGTACATAGAACTCTGACTTATTTCTATCAGTCATACTATTGGGCATTTGTCTTGGGCAAGACACCTAACCCATCTTGTCTGCTGGTGGTGGTCTGAAGGCCTCGCCTCTGTCAGTGCACCCCGGAGCAGCTATGACTACATCGTAGCTCATCATCCCCATCGTGTGAAAGGGTGGATGACTGATTGTGTTGTGAAGTGCCTTGGGGGGTTGTAGAACCCCTATTGTAGATTTGGTACGTTGTTTTGGGGCGATAGTCATGTTAAACACCTTGATTGTCTTTCTGACTGATAGCTTATCTTTGCTCAAAGGAGTTCAGAAGGTCGAAGGCCAAGCCCTAACAGCTGATATAAGGTGTACCCGACTTCAAATGTCGCTGGAGACATGCACCAACCCAACCCAGCGTATTTGACCATGTACGTTTCACACATTGGTGCATCCTTTTATGATTGTTCTTTGCATGGGATCAGATCAAAATAGCTAAATAATGCAATACCACTTGTTTTTGCAAAGGCAATTTTATTTAAACAAACACGAAATCCTAAAAATCAATGGGGGCTTTTCCAATTTTGAAGCAAAGCTCCAGGATGTACTACCTCAGCCACATTTTCCCTTTTTTTCATGCCTCCCGTCACAAACCATAAATACTTTCATTGTGCTTTTTTCTTATTGCGTATGCCATTGCTCTGGCTGGCCTCCTCTCCGTTTGCTTTTTCTGTAAGCACAAAAGGAAAAGTGAATCTGACCCATGAACCCGAAGGACAACTCCACTTTAAGAGTGAATTGTGAAACCTTGGAACCTCGATGAGTGTATTGTAAGTCTCCCCTATACAGTTTTCTTCTCCCTTGTGCACTACAGCTTCCTAGTTATTCCTATTCCTAGTCTGTCCCTTGAGCGACAGACAGGAGCAGTTTTATTCTAATGGCACCGAACCACACAGGACAATTAAAGCACTGAACAACTCTGAAAAAAAGCGTTGCGTTCAAACACGACGCATGCAGATGAACGCATTTGGATCCAAACACAGCCTCACCTTTAAACTCGCTTTTAACGCCACCGGTGAAATCCACCCAAACAACCTGCAGATAATTATATAATTGAGCGTTTACTCGCCTAAATGGACAAGGACGTGCTTACAGAGAATATTTATTTCTTGTGAGCCTTTCAGACACTGATGGGAAGCTTTGAGTTTTTACAAAAGTTACAGGGATACTAAGCAGTTTTGCTTGCTTTTAGCACCCTCTAGTGTCTGTTATTAATTATCTGTGGTCAAAACAAGTTACACCTCACTCTGCACTTGTCTTTTAACAACTTAATCTGACTGCTGAAATGTGTCCTCAGCTTTCATTAACTTCTAGAGGAGTGAATCATCACTAAATTAAACAAATCAGCTGTGTTCGTGATTTTAAACATGCAGGAAACGTGCTGGAAGCAGACTGCAGCGCCAGGTAAGTAAGCAGAACCTTTTCTAAGTACACAGGTGGTGACCCGGCACTCTGAAGTTGCAAATATGGTAATCTGGCCACAGAAGGCAGTGGGGTCTGAGTGATTTTTCATTAACCCTGTAAAGCACATATGTCAGAGTCAAGGTCCGCGGGCCAGATGCGGCCCGCGGAGCATTTTTAAGTGGCCCGCGAGATAAATATCAAAAATATATTAAAACTGGCCCGCTGGCCGATTTTTCCGCAAATACTACAACTCCCATGATGCTTTGCGGCACCAGCGCGGAGCAGACGCGCCCCTTCCTTTGTGTTTTTTCAGCGCCGAGGCAGTCAGAGGTAGTTGGGTGTCTGCAGCTCCGCTGTCTCAGACAAACTACACTCCTCTC